GGGGGTCTTGCAGAGCTTTGTGATAGTGGGAAATTTAAAGAACTAGGTTCAAATCCTGCCTCTCCTTCTGCACTCCAGCCACACTGCTGGTATGCCCGTGCCCCAGTTTCAACACTGTTAAAAAGGAGGTAACAGTGACCACTTTCTGAAAGCCTTAGTGAGATTCCCCAGGGGTTCAAATGGTATCCTCTGAACGGAGGCTTCCCCAAGTGGGAGGAGGGGGGGTGACTGAGGAAGAATGGAGGTAGCACAGTGGAGTTAGAGGAACATCCCGGCTGTGACAGAGGTACAGCGAGGTGCAGCTGGGCCTCCCTGCTGCCCAGTCCCCTTAGACAGCAAGCACTGACAGGGTAGTGTAACTGGACGTTTCTCTCCCAGCCTCCATTCCTGGATAACCACTCAGAGGCTTAATGTTAATTATCATTGTTTGGCTGCTGGCTCAGGCTTATTATTGGCTAGCTCTTACATTTAAATCAACCCATTTCTATTCATCAGTGCATCACCACGTGGCCATGGTGTTATCTCATTTTCTACATGTCTTGCTTTCTTGGTGGTTGCTGGCATCTCCCCCGTATCTCTGCTTGGGTTTCCCACCTGGCTCTATTCTGCCTGGCTGTTGGCCAGATCAGCTTCTTTATTAACCAATGGTAATAAGACATGTTCACAGCACACAGACAGACATCCTACGTCAGGGGCCACCCTCATCTCAGATGTCCTGTTTCTTCTGTGTGATGGACACAGCACTGGTATTTACCGTTTACAGTACCACACGGTACAACTCTCTCGTTCTTTGGGTACGTGGTTTTATTGATTGTAACATGTCACGGATATGCCCAGTCACAGTCATCAGGGTCCATCACTGATTGACGTCTGTCCTTTTGTCATTGCTCCCTGGGTGGTCCACACATTTCACATTCTGTCCACTCCAACAGCACTAGGCAGTTCCTCTTCTAAAAGCCGTCTCGGTCGTGTGGTCCTCTTGCGGATTGCTGACATCAGAACTTGGGAACACTGGCACTCTTGTTCTGAGCTCCTGGCTGAGTGTCCAGTGCGGAACGTGACGCACTGGAGAGAAGACTGCCTCAGATCCTTGCTCTCCATGCTTCAGCTTTACCTTTACCTTCTTTATCCTTTGCTTGTATGTAAGGAAGCGGGTGCTGAGAGGAATGAAGAAGTTAAGCCACTGACTGGGCATGGTGGCTTCTGGCTGTGAGTGCTGGGGAAAGAGTAATGCCGTCTTTCCAGCCCAAGATTGTTTTTTTAAATGCAGTGAGTTAATAACCAAATAGGGCTGTCAAGTTGATAACCAAATAGCTCAGCAAGTAGAAGTACTTGCCATTCAATCCTGACAGCATGAGGTCCATCTCCTGGAAAAAGTCAGGTGCAGTGGTACACATCTGTAATCCCAACACAAGGATATGGCAAGGTGAGAAAAAGTCACTTAGAAGCTTACAGGCCAGCACACACACACACACACCTAAGAACTCTTTTAAAAAGTGAAAGTACATAGGTGTGTCAGGGGAATTAATTATGTCAACGTTGATTCTAAAAAAATAGCTTTTTATGAAATGACATTATGCCTTTCATTAATGTAGCAAAAAAATGAGAACTTGGGTGTGGACTTGGTTACATCTGTAATTTCAAAGCAGCAGTAAGGTATTTGGGATGGCAGTGTTATTGGTTCTTTGGACAAGGGGAGAAGGTTCTGCTGAGACCATCATTGTCCTGTAGCCCTAACAGGAAATTCTAAACTTGGAAGGTTTGTGAAAATTAGAGGTTCATGAACTCTTTGAATTCTATTCATTGATGCCCTAAATTGAGAATTGAGCATCCTGGCCTGGGTTCAACTTGTCACAGGTTACTGCCTATTTAACAATCTTTTTGATGTCCACACCTGACTTATTTTGCAATTTTTCTTTCCCTATTTTACCTGCCTTAGGCTCCAGGATGCTATATAAACACATTACCCTTTCTTTTCCATGACCGCAGCTCTTGTCACAGAAGCTGACATTGCTACCTAAATGCCATGAAACCCACCTAACAAGAAGCTCAGAGGCAGAATGCTCATCGCTTGTGGCTTCCCTAGCAAGGCTGCCAGGGCCCAAGTTCTTCTGCCTTCTTGCCCTATCATCCTGGGCCTATAGATTTCAGCTTTGCTTGTTATTTGTTTGCAGGGGGCTAACTGTGCTTCTGGGTACAGGTCCTGGTACCCAAATAGGAAGTGGGAAGAACGGGGGAGAGGGAGAAATATGGCCACTTGCCACAAGACTCTGGGAGCTGATGTGTAAGAACCCCAGTAAGGAGAGTAGAGCTACTGGGTGAGCAGTCTTCACGACTCCCTAATTGCTGACCACATGGTACTCTCCCTGTGCCCAGGCTGGCAGGCCTTGTCACCTCTAAGTCTCCATCATGTGTGTTCTCTTTAAAGCCAACGTTTTCCCCACTCTCTCCAGCCACACTGATCTGTGTGGGCTCTCTAGAACAAGGAGAGTCAGCTGAGATGCAGAGGTCCTCTGGGTGGCCCCTCATTTGGCAGAGAACTAAGGCGTAAGTGATTCACCAAGATCGTGGTGGGATAGTAGTAACAGCAGCTGCCTCTGTGTGTGTACTTTGTACATTGTGCACAGTTGTCACTCAACATACATTGCTTATAGTCCCCTTAACTCCTCCCCCATAAGGTGAATATCAACTTCAATTCATATCAGGAAATCACGGCAGTAAGATACACACTTTTGACTGCCAGGCCATTGCCTGACCCGGCCATGGCTGAACCAGGCAATCCCCCACCCAAATAATGTGTGTGGAAGTGGTGTTAGCATCCAGGCCTCTAACCCCTAAGGCATTCTCCGTTCCGCTTCCCTCGGTTCTGAGTTCGATTTCCAGCTATACTTCTGCTACCCAGTGCTTTTAGTGTATGTGTTTCTGTCTGGATTTGATTGAGTTGTTTGGGGGGGGGGGGGAGGCACAGACTCCTAGCAGGAACCACCACCTTCACACTCTTAGCCTTTCACAGTATAACGGGGTGACACCGTCTCCACGAATGGCCTTTTGTGACTCTTGGGCTGAAGGCCAAACAGTCTGAGCAGACAGTGAGGCCTGGGCAGCCTGGGCGGCCTGACCCCGTTCCGTGCAGTCTGAGCAGACAGGGCAGCCTGGGCCGCCTTACCCCGTTCCGTGCGGGCACACAGCCCTCCCTCCTCTCCCGTCTCAGGCTGCCACTGTGGTGTGGTTTCCTCCTGCTCGTGTGCTTTCCTGCCGGGCCTCTGCCGTTGCCATTGTCGGGGTTGTGTCCCCTCCTCTCTTACACATAGGCTTCTCCGAAGCTCTCAGCCCCAGCCTCTTCCTGCAGCACTGGCCTCCCACTGATTTGAGCAACTTCACACTGGATTATTAAAATACCTTTTTGCTTTGGTTTTTTACAAGACGGGTTTCTCTGTCTAACAGCCCTGGCTGTCCTTCTGTCCTGGAACTTGCTCTATTGACCAAGCTGGCCTTGTGCTCACAGAGATCCGCCTGCCTTTGCCTCTCCAGTGCTGGCATAAAAGGCATGCGCCATCATGCCCAGCATGCCTGGTACACTATGACCAACCTCTTATTACTACTGTCTATTGTATGCATCTTCTGCTTGTGTATTCTAGGGGTGTTTGAGGACAGGGCCATTCATCTCAGCACTCTAAGTGCTAGGGTTACAGGAGTCTGTCACACAGCTGGGGATCTGAACACAGGTCTTCATGCTTGCACCACAAACGCATTAACCCAGCAAGCCATCTCCCCAGCCCTCACATAAAAGCTGGGTGTGGCCTCGTGTGCCTATGACCCCGGTGATGGAGACGTGGAGATAGGGCCTTCTGCTCAGCTGGGTTAGCTAAAGAGTGAGCTCTGGGTCCCTGCCATCTTCAGGCACAGTAAGAGACCCCGTCTCCAACAGACGATGCGGCTGCAGGGATGGCTCGGCAGTTACGCGCGCGTGACACTCTAGCAGAGAACGAGTTCTGCTCCCAACACCCGCCTCAGGCTCCGAGCATCTGCTTGTAAGTCCAGCTCCCAGAGGAGCTGGTGATGCTTACCTTTGGACACCCACAGTCACATACACAACAGGCACACAGCGTGATTGGTTAAAAATGAATGCTTTGAAACAATGAAGATGGGCATCAATAGAAGAGACAGTGTCAGTCTCTGACCTCGACATGTAGTCCCATGTGTGAGTTCACACCCACCCCGAGAGAGGGAGAGGGAGAGGGGGAGGGAGAGAGAGACAGAGAGAGAGAGAGAGAGAGAGAGAGAGAGAGAGAGAGAGAGAGAGAGAGAGAGAGAGAGGGAGGGAGGGAGAGAGAAGCCCCTGGGGTGAACTAAATCCATGATAGAGGAAGGAACATGGGCTGCACATAGATGATGTCATTTGGGAAGCTAAGGGAGGGGGACATAGGGAAGGCAGTTGTTAGTGGTTGCGTATTGGGTGAACTGGGCTAGGCTTCCAGGTTAGCGGAGGAGCATGTTTTAAGAACTTAGGGTGTAAAACAAGAACGAAGAGGCCGTTGTCTCAGGGTAAGGACACTGGTGGAGGAAAATGGTTCTACTTACTCTGTTAGGAAAGGGCTTCCTCCAAACTCCAAGGCCACACCTAGTCTGGGATTGCAACTTCTACGAGATGAGAAGGTAAATGTTAAAGCCCGACTCCTTCTATGGCTCCACCTTTGATATGGAACTTAATCACAAATCCTAGGCGCCTAATTAGAGCTGCATCCTCTCCTCCAAGGGGTGACCTAGTTAGTGGTTCATGATTAGACCTCCTGCCCTAGGTGGGGAGGCTGGGACCACTTCATCCCATGGGTGTTGGTAATATCACTGGCTAACGTGAGGGCTCTGCTCTGTGCATTTTAACCCTGCTTGATTCCAGTATCTTCAGACCAAAGACAGATATCCAACTGGATTGTGCCCTTCCCGGCAGAGGTTACTACTACCCGGGTCCTCACTTCTTTCCTGTCGCCCTCTCTCCCCAGGAGTCCGAGGGCATCTCTTGCCACTACTGGTCTCTGTTTGACGGCCACGCAGGCTCGGGGGCTGCTGTGGTGGCATCGCGCCTGCTACAGCACCACATCACACAACAACTGCAGGACATCGTGGAGATCCTGAAGAACTCGGCCATCCTTCCCCCGACCTGCCTAGGGGAGGAGCCCGAGAGCACGCCGGCCCATGGCAGGACCCTAACCCGTGCAGCCTCGCTGCGCGGAGGTGTAGGGGCCCCCGGCTCACCCAGCACACCACCCACGCGCTTCTTCACTGAAAAGAAGATCCCTCATGAGTGTTTGGTCATTGGGGCCCTGGAGAGCGCCTTCAAGGAAATGGTATGTACCCTGGACGACTGGGGTAGCTCCTGCCACCGCTGTCTTGCTAGGGAAGCGTCCATGAAATGCGCGTGGCCTTCCTGCCTTCTCCCACGTGCTCTCTCTTCTACAAGAAGACTTATTAAAAAGTCACAGCAAGATACAGTCCTGGAGTGATTGCCAGCAGGAATTAAGACCAGGAGAGCGGTCGAGCACAGGAATGCCTTCTGGTTATTAAATGTATTAAATGCCTCATCCGTTCTATTCATAGGACTCCTATCCATAGGACTCCTATTGACACCAGCTGGTAGCGTTCAACTTAATTGGAATATGAACGTGGCTGCCATTTGTTTTACACATGTCCAAGTGTTTAGGAAACCATGTTCAGTAAAGCACTCGGAAGTACCCTTCCTTTAAAACTGGGTGCAGACTGGTGTGGCATGCACAGTTAATTCCAGCACTTGGAGGCAGAGGTGTATGTCAATGAGTTTGAAACCAGCCTGGTTTATGTATCGATCTCCAGGCCAGCCAAGACTACACAATGAATTAGCCTGGGTGCTGTGCACGCCTTTAATCCCCACTTGAGGGCAGAGGCAGGTGGATCTCTATGAGTTTGAAGTCAGCCAGGTCTACAGATCGAGTTGCAAGACAGGCTCCAAAGCTACACAGAGAAACCCTGTATCGAAAAACCAACCAATGCAAAAAAGGGGAGTGGCTAGTGGTGTAATTCATTCTGTTCAACCAGTAGTGCCTGCAGAACTCCTGAAGGGAGGATAGAGGGCCACATGACTTTTGATTTTCCAGGGCCTGGATTCCTTCGTGCTTTGCTGTCTGGGTGGGTCTGGTCAAGGAATTCAGCATCCTGTATGTTGGCCTGGATCCTGAGCATGTATCCTGGCAGAGCGACATTTGCTGTCTCTCTGCCTGGCAGGGTAGCCATGGATACTGTAGCCCATGTGACCTTCTAGCTCTGACTTTACTTTTACTTAAGCAAGTGTTGTGGTTCCAAAGGTTTTCTTCCTGAGCAGCAGCCTGTATACAGGTGGAGAGCATGGACAACTTAAGAGTGTTTGGAAGGACTTGGGGGAGGCCAGAGGGCAGTGTTTTTCAAACCTGAAGATTAGAATATGATGGTGGCACGTCCTCACCTGAAGTGAGCATCCACCTTCACCATCCAGGTCCTTAAGACTTAGCTCTACACGCCCTAGTCAGAGGAGAAAAGCCAACATGGTTCCTGATTTGTTCATAAGGAACCAAGTTGGTGACTACAACTAGACACCATTGCTGCATGGAACTCTGATCATTTAACAGAGGTGACAGCTCAACAGTGACCTCCCTGCAACGAGAGAAAAGATCAAAAAATGGGGACAGGGGATTTTCATTTCCATCAGTGGTTGCTGCGGCTGCAGGATACCTTTTGCCTGGAACTGCTGTATTCTCACCTCCGGCCACTAGAGGCCAGTGTCACATCGATGATGGCCTCCCTAGCAACAGCAGCCCTTAAAATGTGCAGCTTATTCAGATACCTAAGGAAAGGAGGTCCAAGGTTTGTCTTTTCACCTCTAGGCAGTTCACTGCCTGAAATTTCTTGCGCGCGTGTGCGCGCATGTGTGTGTGTGTGTGTGTGTGTGTGTGTGTGTGTGTGTGTGTGTGTGTGTGGATATGTCAATTTTACACAGTCCTTCAGTCAGTAAATATTTGCTGAGAAACAAGTCTTTGTCAGGCTTGAATGGGAGTAGAACATAGAACAAAAATAGAAAAAGTCAGGTGTCCAACAAGTGAAACACACACACACACAGAGGGAAAGGGAGGGAGAGAGAGAGAGACAGAAAAAGAGAGAGAGAGAGAGGGAGGGAGGGAGGGAGGGAGGGAGGGAGGGAGGGAGGGAGGGAGGGAGGGATAGAGGAGTTAGGTTTGAGCTAGAGCTCATGAGGCAGGCTGAGCAGTATTCCAAAGGGGAAATTCTGGGAGCTCTGAGACATCGAGACCCGCAGGAGCTCCTGGGAATGAACAGTAAGTGTGTTATCTAATTAGGGGGACAGTTATTCCTCCCAACACCTTAGCATGTGACATGGGTATCCTGGGGTTCATCTCCTGGCCAGATGATTGACAGGCCGAGCTGGATTTGCTCCTAAGGGAGTAGACAGTAGTACATGATGTTCTGTCTTTGGAGCAGATCAGACAAGATCCCTCAGATGACCTAAGGAAGTGCAGTTGTGTAGTCCCCCTTTGTACTATTCCCCAGGGAGAAAGAAGATGGTGCCCGTTTTTAAAGGCTATTAATTCCTGTAGCAATGTGCCATACATATCTCGGCTACTTTGATGTCCTAAGTAATGTCAAAGGAAGTAAAACAATGATGGCAGCAGCAGCCCAACATATGTTGGAAATCCCAAGCCGGAACCAGGAGCACTTTCTATAGGGCACATGGGTCACTTTCACAAAATCTAGACTGACCGAAGGGGTAAAGGGACAAGATTTGAACAAGAGGCGGTGAAGGCAACTCTGGCAGATGCTCCATGCTCCTCTGAGACAGTCTTTGATGCTTGGGTTCCTGCACAGTGTGTGGTGTGTGGGGAAGGTGACCCCTGACCGCTGGCATGTAATGCTATCAAGGTCAGGGTTAGCCCTACAACTCCTTTGTTGTATCACGTCTTGGATCTGACTTCCCACTGGGAAGACCATGGAGCCAGTTCCTCCTGTTTCCACTGTGGAAGACAAACTGTGGTCTCCTAAGGAAAATCAGCTGCTCATTGCTTGAGATGAGTGTCAGAACTATCAGCCTAGAAATGATGCCAGGACCCTCAAATAATAGCCTAACAGTTATTGTCGCCTCCTGTAAAATCCTTTTTCTTCCCTGTTTCTCCTGGTAGTTAGTTTTTTTGGGGGATATTTTCTGTCTCAAAGAAAAATTTGGGGAGTGTTTTTGTTTTTGAGATACTAAACACAACCAACTTCCTTATATCTAATGTATGGGTTCAAGTCCACTTGCCAACGGTGATTGTTTTTAAACAGTGGTTAGCTAAAGCAACAAGATTGTTTCCTGGCCCAATAAGATAGGTGCGAATGAGATAAATGTTCTGAATTCTAGTTTTAAACACTTCACCCCCAAAAAAGATTGTTTGGGTTGAATAGACAGCACTTCAAACTCATAGAGGAAGTTAATGCCATGATCGGGTTAGCTGTCGAAGAGTCAAAACCAAGTCAGCACTGATGAGTTGGTTTGCTTACTGTCTACAAGACTGAACTCAGGACAAATCTAAGAGAATCTCTCAGAGTCCTCACCTACTTCCTCTCAGTGTCGTTAGGTAGCTAGCTGGACGGGTGTTGTTGGGCTTGGAGACCATTGATGATAGACCCCTCCCTCATGGCTGATTTAGACCTCACTTGCCATTTCTCTGATAAATCAGGAAAAGGAAAAATTAAGATTGGCTCCCATAGTACTTTAACTTACTACATAAAAAGATGCAGGTATCAGGGTTTTGTTGAGGCCAGTGCAACTCCTCCCCTGTAGCCTAAAGAGTAGAATGCACCCCCGACTCTGCGTGGAGATTTGACGTTCTCATCTGCTCAAAATATTAGAAGGCCACATCCATTGACTCCTTCCCTAAGAGTTAGCCCAACTAGAGACGTGATTCCCCTAGGACATGCTAAGGCTCTGGGAGGAATGATTGATTGGCCACTTAGTTAAATAATGCACTGAAGGAAGGCCCCTCCCTCTTTCATTTCCTTCTTTCTCCCTCCAGCCTAGGTATATTTCCCTGACTCTCAGGGCCTCCTTACTCTTCTCTCTGTTCCTTCTCCCCTTCTGCCATACAGCTGTTTGCCTTCATTGCTGAACATGCCAGCCTTGGACCCTCACTCAAAGAGGCATGGGTTTCTCTCTTTTCTCTTCCTCGTCTGCCAAGATCTACAGCTTGCCTGCTCTGTTGTTTTTCTCTCAGAGCCTAAAAACAAATTGCCCTGGAGTCTCCTTCTTCTGAATGTGTTTCTGAGTTCTTTTATTGAGGAGACTAAGAACCCAAAAGGGAACGCCAGTTTTCCCAGTAACAGTAGAAGAGTGTCCTAGCAACGTTTTAAAGGTTATTTAGATTTTGAGGTTTATTTGTTGTTATTGTATGTGCACAGGTCTTTTGTCTGCAAGGGTGTCTGTGAACCACGTGTGTGCAGCCTCCAAAAGGTGTTGAATCCCCCTTGGAACTGGAGTTACAGATGGTTGAAACCGCACTGTGTGGGTGCTGGGAATTGAATCTGGTCCTCTGGAAGAGCATTCGGTGCTCTTAACCACTGAGTCATCTCTCCAGCTCCAAAACTGGCAATATTTTAACTTGTAAAACTACTCTACATCTTCCATTACTGGCAAATGATTAGGGAGGAAAAGCATATGATGACATATAATAACATGAGAATGAATGCCAAGGTTATTACTAATTTATGAGGTCTAGAATTTCAATTAGCTTATTCATGGTAGGTTTATAACCTAAGCTGCTTTATTGAAGCTTGGTTTTGTTTAGTCTTTGTTTTTATTGCAACGGGAAGTTCTTTTAGGAAGGGATGGGCCTGGAATTCCACAGCAGTCAGCAGATGGCGATATTGGACAGTACCGGTTTTTGAATTTTTTTTACTCCCTTTTGAAACTTATTGCTTAGCTGGCAGATGGCCTTGTTCTCAGAATAAACCAGGATGAGACCCGGATACTAAAGCCATGCAGAATCTTATTATTTGTGACTGACACTCTTAGCAGTATGCTCAGAACTATATTATAACCCAGCCAGGGGGAGCTGCCAGGTATATTAAAACTGCCCAGCACGCCGGCTCTCCTCTGCTGACCAACAGTGCCTTCTTTTCACAACCTGGAATTGATGAGCAACAAAGACTAAGCCTGGAGTTGCATCATCTCTGAGACTTTCAAGTCAAATGACAACCATTCTGGGTAATAAATACTTTCTTTTACTTGAAATTCTTTCCTGTCAAGTGAGTCTCATTTTACATACATACTCTGTGTTCCCACACCTCGTAACAACAACAACCGAGAGAGAGACAGAGACAGAGACAGAGACAGAGACAGAGACACAGAGAGACAGAGAGCAAATAAAACCTCATATCATAAGAATTGGTTCTTTGATTCTGAGGTGGGCCTCGCCCGAATGTGCTGTGTAAGCAGTTGCAACCCAGAATAACTCGGCTTCCCTCGGAAGGGTGTTGCCTTCGAGGAGGCATCAGGACACTGGAGTAAGCAGGCCAGTCAGGGAGTTATTGCCACGGTCCATCCACATGTAGGCCGCCCTGGGAAGGAGTGATAGTATGTAAATGCTGTACTAGTAAGTTATTCTAGATGTATGTCTTGGAATCCACTGGCAGCTAAAATGGATAGTCCGTGTGCTCTTGCTTAGCACCCAGCAGTAAATAGCTTTCCTCATGATCACATGGACTTGCGGGAAGGGAAAAAACAATAAAAAAAAAAAAACTAAAACTCGAGGGCTGGAAAAAAATAGTTCAACATTGTGAATATATATATAAAGTTTAAATGGCTTAGGGTAATTTGAAAGATTGAGGATTTTGAAAGGGAAAGGCAGCTAGTTCCATGGTAAATGTATCTTTATTGACTGCATTTATCATGTTTAATCTCAGAGTAAAAGAGCCACCCAGATGGTCCTTTAATGTCCCTTTCAGTGTAAGATTTTCTGAATCTTTTAGGGAGAGTAGGTGGTGTGTGTAGCAAAAAATAAATGTTCTATTTTGGCTTCTGGGGAGGAGGGGAACGGAGCAATTATTTTTAGAGTCTGTTCTAGTTGTGCACAGTTTTAGAAGAAATAGAGGAGCGTGTGCTCATGTCAGTGAATTCTTCAGGGGGATGAATCCTGCAGAAATGTGCCTTTCAAATCCCGCTGATGGCGCGGGCGGAGAGAACACATTTGTAACTACTGCGTGTGCACATGTGTATTCCCTCACAGATGTAGGGGATGCACTGGTCAGAGCAGTGTTTCTTGGGTTGCAAAATAGTTAGACTTGAGTCCACTAATATACATACATATGTGTGTGCGTGTGTGTGGAAGTAGCATGCCTTATCCAGAGGGAGCTACAGAAAAAATGTACAGTTAAAATGTAAAAAAGGAGGAAGGAACAGACTAAATAAGTTTGTGTGTGTGTGTGTGTGTGTGTGTGTGTGTGTGTGTGTGTGTGTGTGTAAGAGAGAGCGTGCGTACCATGCTGTTAATTTATATTAAGGTCTGCACTGAATAAACTAACCCAGAATATCCCCAGCCTTGAAAGTAAATACGAACCCTGCTGCTGTAACAGAGCATCGTGTTGTTGAATGTTGTCTTGATCCCCTCGTCCAAGGATTAAGTAATTTTAAAACCAGACATTCTTACATTAGAAACCATCATAAATAATGCCCACACCCATGAACCAGAATAAGTTTGTTCACCTCTATCCCTAGGAAATTCTTTGCCGTGACCAGCCCTTTAACACGGACTCTGTACTGTAGGGTCCGTCCTCATCCCCTCCCCTCGGCCTCCTTCGGACTGCACTAATAATTCACTTAGGCCTGTCAAACACCATTCACATTCCAGTCCACATGCAGCATGCAAACTTTTGGGTGCTTAAGGAATTTTTAATAAATAGTGCCTTTCATTCAGGCTTACATAGTCAAACAAATATGGATCACAGCTATGAAGCGATCGTTTCCATAGCTAGAGTACTTTTCAATATATTGAACACAGTAATGTTGGATGTGGACTTGGAGATACCAGTTTATATATTTATTATATATTTAATGGACATATACCTATTATATCTAAAAATGTATCTTATTTTAGTTTTTTGTGGCAAAAAAAATTAGCAAATCGACCCATCAAAGGATTCTTTCTGTTCTAGAAATGAAACAGAAAAACCAGGGTTTCCTGATGTTTTCTCTCTCTTCTCTCCCTTGAGCGGGTTCTCCTCCCCCCCCCCCAGCTCCTGTGTCCCTCCAACTTGAGCTTCCTGCCAACAATGCACAGGATGTCATAACCCTTTTCTCTTGTCCACTGGCAGCCAGCTGCAGGGTTCTGGCTACATTGGTGCCTCAGAGCGCATCTGCCTGGTAAATGCGGTGTTTGTGAATGGTAGCTTCCATTTCTCCTATCATTGGTAAAGTGGTGAGAAGATGTTCAGAAATGAAGACTTTTTTTAAAGTATATTTTCTTCAATTGTCCATTTAACAGATACTTAACTAAACCAATGTTGACCTGGCCTGATACAGATGTTGAGGGTCTGAAAGGGACAACTGTGAACTTTCCAACTGGGGGGGGGGATCCTGTGGCTGTGGCTAAGCTCCGCCCCCACCACACCTAATTTAATCCTCTTAATAGTCCTTAAGAAAACGGTTTATTCAGCATTTAAGTCAATGTTAAAATGCAGTATAGTCCTCAGAGCCTTCCTCATGCTTGCCCCCTCTGCAGCCTTTGAAACTACTGTCACTCCCACAGAGGCTCCTCAGTTCTCTTAGACTCCCACATCCCCCTCCGTGCACGCACGCATGCGCGTGCACACACACACACACACACACACACACACACACACAGCCCTTCACCCCTTGCTGTGGCTCCTCAGCTCCTTTACTGTTTCATCCCCTGTACGCTGGTTTCTCCATCCTGTCTTAGTATGGTTTTTTTCCTACTACTTTTTTTTTTTTTTAATTCAGGGTCTTGTCAGCCTGGAACTCATAGTCCTTCTGCGTCATGCTGCTGCATACAAGGGTTGCAGGCCTGTATGTCCAAATCCATCTTCTGCCTTCTCTCTAAGCAGATGCCACTGCAATCAGCTTGGGAAACTCTTGGGGTTTGCTCTCTCGCCATCCCCAACACCTAGAGGATAGGCATTGTGGTTCAATCCAGTTCGCTGAAGCAGCTAACTGCACTCCAGGTTCTAGAGCCCCAGAAGTGCCTGCCCCCCTCAGAACAGCTGGGGCACCACTTCTCCCTCTTGTAACTTTTACCCCACCCACCCTCACTCTCACTCAGCCTCAGCAGTGAATAGCTTCCAGTGTAGAAAGAACACCTCACTCAGCTCCTGTTTTCTCAAAGACAGAGCATGCAGCTCTTTCAGTAACCCTGAATTGTTTTGTGTTAGACAACAGAAATGTTGCTCTGATTTTAATTTTTCTGAGGGTGCCTCATTACAGGGCAGGTGGTACAGGTTTGGGAAGAGAACTGGTGTTAGATAGTGTGTGCTCTATCCAGGGAAACGTGGGCAGTGTTCCCGATTCTCCGCATCTGCACACTGTAGTTAATAATGAGGCTCCCGAGGCCATAATGCAGATTGCACATGCATGGCGCCTAGCTCTATGCCTGGTGTGGGGAGGGTGTCTGTGGGCTGCTCCAACACTGGGAGTGTGTCCCATTGTGAACTGTGGCTACGGAGGAGGAAGCTATGTTCAGATGCACCTGTGTTGAATGGCAGACAGTTCATTCTTTAAGTTGGGCTATAAAAGAACTACTTATTCAAGACTTTGCATTAAAAACATAGTTTATGTCCAGGTACTTGGCATTCCTAGTTCTATTCTGTGTCCCACATGACCACTCAAGCAACCCACACACAGACTAGATTTCCCATAAGCTGTGGTTTCTGTTAACTGGAATCTACATTTTCCTCTTCACGCATTTGCCTGGTATGTCTGTGAGTGGCCCTTTGGTTCCAGTCTCTGGTCTGCAGTAGTCTGGTATTTTGTGTCATGTCCTCCAGAGAAGCCCATTAGGTCAGTGGTTTTCAACCTAGGGGTAGTGCTCCTCCCTGGGGGGGGGGAGTCAAACGACCCTTTCACAGGGGTCACATGTCAGATATCCTGCATATCAGACATTTACATTACAATTCATAACCATAGCAAAATTACAGTTATCAAAGAAATTATTTCATGGCTGGGGGGTCACCATGCATGAGGAACTGTATTAAAGGGTCACAGCATTAGGAAGGTTGAGAACCACTGCATGGGGTGGTAGGAAAATAGGTTCTGAGGATTGCCTGTCCTTTCTGGAAGCACATGCGGACTTCGGGACTGTATTAAGTGAAGGGAGGGAGGCTTCCTTTGGTGCCAGCTCCTGCACTAACTTTCCTTTCTTCTCCAGGACCTTCAGATAGAACGAGAGAGGAGTGTGTATAACATATCCGGAGGCTGCACAGCCCTCATTGTGGTTTGCCTTTTGGGGAAGCTGTATGTGGCGAATGCTGGGGACAGCAGGTAAGCAGATTAGCTCCCCGGTTCTTCCTACCTTGTGTTCTGGTGCCTTGGACAGAGTCTACCTGCTCTTGAAGAATTAAACAATTGGAAAGAAAGTTATTCTGCTTAGGATTAAATGTGAAAGGAACGAGCTTCCTGCATCCTAACAGAAAGCATTTGATTGGTTGGTGTTTTGAGACAGGGTTTCTCTGTGTAGCCCTGGCTGTCCTGGAACTAGCTCTGTAGACCAGGCTGGCCTCTAACTCAGAGATGCACCTGCCTCTGCCTCCTATGTGCTGGGATTAAAGGCTAGAAATGCATTTAAAAACAATCTGATTGCTATTGAAGGGTGAAGGGCGTGTGACTTGTTCATTGCCACAGCTTGTGTGTGCAGCTAGAGTTCATCTAAAACCAGGAGCATTCAAGTGGCGTTTTGGCCTTGGCACTGATTTAGCAGAGTCAGGATATTGGTGAGCAATGAAGTGAAGGGAGGACGTGTGTGTGTGTGTGTGTGTGTGTGTGTGTGTGTGTGTGTGTGTGTGTGTGTCGGGGAGATGGGGTGGGAACATGAGAACTCCATAGGCAGGAGTGCAGATCAGTGGCCCAGGGCCTAAAGGAATGACAAAATCCCAAGACAGCAGCCATTGCTAGGGAACACCCTTCCATGTTTAGAGTCCAGAACTTTAGTCATTTTCAAACAGTTATTCTTTAGGGAAAGGTCCAATTACACAGTCAGCCACAGTGATATTGAAGAAGCATCGCTGTGAAGGAAGGGCCATTTATTTAAGGTGATTAAAGAACAAGTGTATCTGCTTCATTGGCAATGCTAGGCAAAGACACACACACACACACACACACACACACACCACCACCACCACCACCACCACATATACACACACACATCCACACACCACCACATCCACACATACACCACCACATCCACACACACATATACACACATACATACACACACATACACACCACACACACACACACACACACACACACACACACACACCTTCCCTTTCACCTGATGACTCCATTGCTGGTTGCCTTTGTAGTTTGGAAGACTAACCCTCTTAATACAATGAAGAAATTCACTCTCCTCTTTCTTCCATTTACAAAGACTCCTCTAGGTGAGCAGTCTCCATTCCTCTTCTCCCAGTAAGGCATCTATCCTGACCTTTGTTCCCGAAGAACAACCTGGAAAACAAAGGAGAAGGGACTGCCAAGGGAACAGCTCATGGGGTTTAAAGATGAGTGCTTTGAAAGGCCCATTTATTTTGAAAGAGTATGTGGGTTTCCAGTCTTACCAGGATTCTCATTGGTTGAGCCCACCTGGCTCAAGCCAGCAAACAGGTAGCAATGGAGGTCAGCATTCATGGAGGTCAGCATGCCTGGCAGAGACAAAGTCAAGGCAGGGGGCCAAGGGGAAGCAGTCAGCATGCCTGTCCCTTCCCTCCTCCACTGCATACCCAAGAGTTTTCCAGCTTCTGCACAGAGATCAGTGGCTTGCAAATGGCCACTGAGGTGCAGATGGCGGATGGTGGATGGCAGATGGCGGCCTCTTGCTCAGTTCTACATCCTGAGCTTGTTGAGAGATGGTGAGCAGAGGCGATGGATCCTTTCTGTTTTCATAGAGATTGGGCACGTTGAGTCGGCCTCCTGCTCACACTCTCCTTCCCAGTCTGCTTGAGTTTGCTTCCCTATGGAAGTGACTGACAGTCCAGGCCACAGCCCACGCCCACCGCACTCTCCCGAGGAGGCATCCCCTTCCAGATGACCTGAGGGTCAGAAGTTAACTCCAGATCGGGGTATCCCAGAAACTCCTTGCCCAGGGACCTGCCAGCTCCAGTGTTTCTCTACTGAGATTTTGCCATTTTACCCTGAGTACCAGTCTCCAGACCTTGGTCTCTGCATGGGGCATGTGACATCTAGAATTTATGGCTTGCTAAAGGATAACCTGGGGCAGTAACACCTTCAGAAAGGAAAGTCATGCTGCTTTAGCCAATCTTTGTGACATTTCTTAGAGCTCTGTGACATCTTTCTTAGAGCCTGCTGTTAAATTTTTAATTTCACCAAGGCCCTGTTTTGCTAAGTGCCGGTAAAAAAAATATGTTTTACATTTATTTCTAATTTTAAAAGCCTAATAAATACCCATTTTCTTAATAAAGCTGTGATGCACAGAATAAAAATTACCCTGCAATACAGGAAGCTTAAATTATATTTGTGGAACTCAGACCCTAGTGTCCAAATACAAAGTTGGGGTTTTATAGCTAATTGGTTGGGTTTGGTACCCACATGTGGATCATAATTCATAAAGAAGCCTAGGGCAATAGGAACTAGTATTTTATTAAGCCAGCCAAATGATCATTTATGGAACACATAAGTTGTTGCTTGCAGCTCTATCATGAATGATAGATACTGATGTCATCTTAGACCATCATTGCCTACTTTATTTACTAATGATATATTGTGAGCATTTTAGTTTAAAAACATTGCTATTCTCAAGAAAGAACTACTGGGAAGTCATCTTCATATCTGTGAAACTGTAAGTTATTATTTGTCAACAAGCTCTCAGGAATCCAAAGACACAGGTAAAGGGGAAAAAAATGATTAGAGCTAACAGAAAACTCTGGCAACACGGCCCTGATTAATTAAGTGCTAATTTTTCCATTGTTAGATAATAGCTGTCATGTGTTTATACTTTTAAGTCTTGACAGTTTTTAGGGTGAAAATAAATCTTGGTTGTGCGCCGCTACCCTGTAATTACTTACAGAGTAACAGTGAGAGAAGCTTTGATTTGATTGAGAAGCTGCCGGTGGTCAAGGGCTATTTTCGGGGCCTCTTATCTGGGTGTCATCTGATTTACCATCAGGCCATGTGTCTGTTCTGGCATTGTCTTCAGGAAATGCTGCTGGTCGTGTCTGTGGTTTACCAGGGTTTGACTCCATAGCCACCGTCTTTGTATGGTGTCGGGTGACTCATCCACAGAGGCCTGGTCCACAAAGGAGACCGACTTCCCTTCTCTTGTTAGCTGAGTTCACCAGCCGTCTAGAGGCCGGCAGACACTGCAGGGTACTCAGTTGCTTTACTGCCCCCAGGCAAAGGTAGTCAGCCCAACACCTCACTACCTTGAGGGACTGACTAGGAGGGAAGCTGATGGTGGGTGGATTCCTCCCTTTAAGCCAAAGTGAACCCGGAGCATGGGAATATCATGCGACGCAGTGTGCAAACTGTTACTCGTTGTGTGTGAGTCATCAGCTCTCCGGGGTCGTGCTGCTCTTCGGTTCTGGAAGGTGCCTTGCTTCCATCTTAGATGATTTCATTTTGTTTCTAGAGAACTCAGGCACTGGGGAAGCTGAGCCATGACTGCTTATTTCAAACAATGTCTAAAGGTTTGGCAACTGGAATGAAGTGAACTCATTCAGCTTAAAGAAAGGCATTTAAGAACCACTAACGTCTTGATTTCCACGCTTGCAAGAATTGTAGGAACAGCATCGGTGAGACAGCTATGCAAGCACCCAGCGCTTGTTTAATGCTAGAACAAGGCCATGTTTAATTCCTGTCATTAATAGAGTGAGAAGTCAGAATTGTTAATGTCAGATACGTGCATTTTATACAAAGCAATTTTCCCAAGGTCCCCAGCTACTGAGGAGCAGAGCTGCCATGACACCAAAACTGGACTAAAAGAACCACGTTGTCAGAGACTCCACCATTTATCCATCCATGCTAAGACTTGTTTTTTTGTTTTGTTTTGTTTTTTGGGTTTTTGTTTTTTTGGTTTGTTTTGGGGAAGGTTGTTTTTTGGTTTGTTTTTGTTTTTTATAATTTATTTAACTTTATTTGCATTGGTATGAAGGTAATAGATCCCCTGAAACCATAATTACAGACAACTGTGAGCTGTCATGTGGGTGCTGGGAATTGAACCCAGGTCCTCTGGAAGAGCAGCCAGTCTGGCTCTTAACCTCAGAGCCATCTCTCCAAACCCCCCCTTTTTTTGTTGTTTTTTTTTGGGGGGGGGGGTTTGAGACAGGGTTTTTCCGTATTGCTTTGGAGCCTGTCCTGGAACTCACTCTGTAGACCAGGCTGGCCTTGAACTCACAGAGATCCTCCTGCCTCTGCCTCCCAAGTACTGGGATTAAAGGTATGCACCACCAATGCCAGGCACTAAGACTTGTTTAAACATCATTAATGCAAGAGTTTCTAATTAACATTTTCCTCCCTATTTATTTGTATATGAAATACTGACACACTTTACAATCAGTGACATCCCAGAGTTTACCTGGAATAGGTTATGTGTATAAGGGAGTGGACAGCTACTTAGAAGCTTTTTGTTTGTTTGTTTAGACTGAGTCTATATAGCTCAGGCTTGCCTTGACCTCCTCATTGTCCTATCTCTGCTTTCTAAGTGCTGGGATTATGATAATCACGCATTACCAACCCTAGCTCTTAGAGACTGATGTAAGTGGGTCTCATCTGTCTTAGTTACTTTTCTATTACTGTGATAAGACACCCTGACCAAGGCAACTTCTGAAAGAGTTTACTTGGGAGGTTTTGCAGAATTAGAGTCCACAGCCATCATGACAAGGAGCACAGCATCAGGCAAGCATGATGCTGGAGCAGTAACTGAGAGCTCACGTATTAATCCATAACTAGGAGGCAGAGACAGCAAATTCAGATTGATGCAAGTCTTTTGAAAGCTCAAAGCCTAACCCAGTGGCACACCTCCTCCAACAAGGCCACACCTCCTAATCCTTCCCAAACAGTTCTACCAACTGGGCAACAAGTATTCAAATATATGAACCTTAGGGTGCCATTCTCATTCAAATCACCCCAGCAGGCATCAAGCAAATACTTTTGAATGATCCAGCCCATTGCTTTATAATAAGGGAAGAATTTTTGTTGTGTTGTTTTTGTTTTGTTTTATTTTTGTTTTTCCGAGAAAGGGTTTCTCTGTATTGCTTAGATACTTTTCAAAATGAGGACAGTAGACCTTCTAGAGGTAGCAGAGTTATGAG